TAAAAGTGTAATTGAAAAATACAAAAATGTTATTGAGAAAGATTAGGAAGATATTGGTAAAAATAATAAAAATTTTTCTTTATACCTACAAGTTATTAATAATTTTTACAATTCAACAATCAACAATCATTATTAAAATATTTTAATAATAATATTCAAATAAAAATATTGTCTCTATCCTAGGACATGCGTCCCATGAAAGTATATGCGTCCAAACAATGAAAAATTGGATTTTTTTTGGTGTTGCAGTTGAGGTTTAAATAATTCCTGAAAAAAGATGTAAATTAAAATTAAGTTAAACTAAATTTTAAATGTTTAAATGTTAAATTTATTCAAGATTCAAAGTTAAAAGAGTTAGGCTCCTCCCACTTACCTTTTAGGATTAGTAGGGAGCGAAAAAAATAGTGGAAAGAAGAGGGGAGAAAGAGAGACATGGAACATAATAATGTGAGGGAGCAATAAAAAAATAGTGATGAGCAAAAAACGCCTATCCTGGACTTTGTCAAATCTGCAGCAGTATACACTCTCTCGCAATGTGTAAACAAAAGTCCAGGAAAAGTCCAGTAAATTCTATTGGTCATTCAAGCGGATTCGCGGATTCGCTGTAAAATATTTTTTTAATTAGTAGTTAACCCAACGTATTCGCTTTTAAAACATTTTTTCAAAGAGTAGTTAACCCACCGCATTCGTTTTAAAACATTTTTTTTAAGTAGTAGTTAACCCACCGTATTCGCTTTTAAAATATTTTTTTAAGTAGTAGTTAACCCAACGTATTCGCTTTTAAAAATTTTTTCAAGTAGTAGTTAACCCACCGGATTCGCTGTAAAATATTTTTTTCAAGTAGTAGTTAACCCACCGCATTCGCTGTAAAACATTTTTTCAAGTAGTAGTTAACCCACCGTATTCGCTTTTAAAATATTTTTTTAAGTAGTAGTTAACCCACCGTATTCGCTTTTAAAATATTTTTCAACGTATTCGCTTTTAAAAATTTTTTCAAGTAGTAGTTAACCCACCGCATTCGTTTTAAAACATTTTTTTAAGTAGTAGTTAACCCACCGTATTCGCTTTTAAAATATTTTTTTAAGTAGTAGTTAACCCAACGTATTCGCTTTTAAAAATTTTTTCAAGTAGTAGTTAACCCACCGGATTCGCTGTAAAATATTTTTTTCAAGTAGTAGTTAACCCACCGCATTCGCTGTAAAACATTTTTTCAAGTAGTAGTTAACCCACCGCATTCGTTTTAAAACATTTTTTCAAGTAGTAGTTAACCCACCGTATTCGCTTTAAAATATTTTTTAAGTAGTAGTTAACCCAACGTATTCGCTTTTAAAAATTTTTTCAAGTAGTAGTTAACCCACCGGATTCGCTTTTAAAAATTTTTTCAAGTAGTAGTTAACCCACCGCATTCGTTTTAAAACATTTTTTTAAGTAGTAGTTAACCCACCGTATTCGCTTTTAAAATATTTTTTTAAGTAGTAGTTAACCCAACGTATTCGCTTTTAAAAATTTTTTCAAGTAGTAGTTAACCCACCGGATTCGCTGTAAAATATTTTTTTCAAGTAGTAGTTAACCCACCGCATTCGCTGTAAAACATTTTTTCAAGTAGTAGTTAACCCACCGCATTCGTTTTAAAACATTTTTTCAAGTAGTAGTTAACCCACCGTATTCGCTTTAAAATATTTTTTAAGTAGTAGTTAACCCAACGTATTCGCTTTTAAAAATTTTTTCAAGTAGTAGTTAACCCACCGGATTCGCTTTTAAAACATTTTTTTAAGTAGTAGTTAACCCACCGCATTCGTTTTAAAACATTTTTTCAAGTAGTAGTTAACCCACCGTATTCGCTTTTAAAATATTTTTTAAGTAGTTGTTAACCCAACGTATTCGCTTTTAAAAATTTTTTCAAGTAGTAGTTAACCCACCGGATTCGCTTTTAAAACATTTTTTCAAGTAGTAGTTAACCCACCGCATTCGTTTTAAAACATTTTTTCAAGTAGTAGTTAACGCAGTTTGCTGCGTTCTTCATCGATCCACGAGCCGAGTGATCCACCGATAAGGCTAGAAATTTTCGTTTTTTTAAATATAAAGAAAAAAAGAGTGCTGGCGTCCTCACCTAAGAGGCTCATTAAGTCTTAAACTCATTAGAGTCCTAACATGTCACCACATATACAGCCACGGACGTTCACAACTGTATCAGCAATACCTAGACACCAGCGACAGCCGTTTCACAACGATTAATTCATTGCGAATTCAAATTTGAACATCACATAAAGTAATGATCCAGCAGCAGGTTCACCTACAGCTACCTTGTTACGACTTTTGCCCGGTTCAAGCCACTGCGATTAAATTGGTTTCCATCAAAGTAATTTAGATAAATTAAATCAACGGTCCCCAAATTTCTCGAAATGGCTCAGTCCCGGGCAGCGACGGGCGGTGTGTACAAAGGGCAGGGACGTAATCAACGCGAGCTGATGACTCGCACTTACTTGGAATTCCTCGTTCACGGAAAATAATTGCAATTTCCGATCCCAATCACGGCAAATTTTCAATGGTTTACCCGCCCCTTTCGGGGTAGGACAAGCACGTTGATTTTGCCAGTGTAGCGCGCGTGCAGCCCCGGACATCTAAGGGCATCACAGACCTGTTATTGCTCAATTTCTTTCGGCTGAACACCGCAAATCCCTCTAAGAAGCTGTATACACTAAGAGTATGTACCAGCTATTTAGTAGGTTAGAGTCTCGCTCGTTATCGGAATAAACCAGACAAATCACTCCACGAACTAAGAACGGCCATGCACCACCATCCACTGAATCATGAAAAAGCTATCAATCTGTCAATCCTCACAGTGTCCGGGCCGGGTGAGTTTCCCCGTGTTGAGTCAAATTAAGCCGCAGGCTCCACTCCTGGTGGTGCCCTTCCGTCAATTCCTTTAAGTTTCAGCTTTGCAACCATACTTCCCCCGGAACCGGAAGACTTTCGTTTCCGGGAAGCTCCCCACCAAGGCAATATAATTTCCATCGGCGGATCGCTAGTTGGCATCGTTTACGGTCAGAACTAGGGCGGTATCTGATCGCCTTCGAACCTCTGACTTTCGTTCTTGATTAATGAAGACATTCTTGGCAAATGCTTTCGCTGTAGTTTGTCTGGCCACGGTCCAAGAATTTCACCTCTCACGGGGCCATACAAATGCCCCCGTTTGTCTCTGTTAACCATTATCTCAGTCCGTAAAACCAATAAAACTGAACCGAAATCGTTTTCTATTATTCCATGCACGATCATTCAAGCGAAAACGCCTGTTTGAAGCACTCTGATTTGTTCAAAGTAAACTTGCAATGCCTGTTAAGAATCCTGTTAAGGACTCAAAACCGAACATTACGATAAATCGATAACACCCAGAAACACCCGGAGGGTTCCAGGGTACCGATACGAATCCAACTACGAGCTTTTTAACCGCAGCAATAATTCTATGTATTAGCAGAGCTGGAATTACCGCGGCTGCTGGCACCAGACTTGCCCTCTGCTTGATACTCGTTAAAGGGTTTAAATTGTACCCATTCCGATGACCGGCCTCAAAGAGAACGATCTCGTTATTTCTCGTCACTACCTCCTCGAGCCGAGAGTGGGTAATTTGCGCGCCTGCTGCCATCCTTAGACGTAGTGGCCATTTCTCAGGCCCCTTCTCCGGAGTCGAACCCTGATCCTCCGTTATCCGTCACCACCACGGGAGTCGATTATGCTCCCGTCAAGTTGATAAAGTGGACGCTTGAAAGACACGCCGCCGGCACAAGGCCATGCGGTCAGCTTAGTTATTCTGAGTCAACAAGAAGCAGCCGAAGCCGCGTGGTTTTGTTCTAATAAATGCGCTTTTCCGAGAGGACAAAGCTTTGGTGCATGTATTAGCTCTAGCTTTTCCACAGTTATCCATTTAGATAATCAAGATCAAGTAAATCATGGCCATTGTAATGAGCCGTTCGCGGTTTCTCGTTAAAACGATTAAACTTGTACATGCATGGCTTAATCTTTGAAATGAACACATCAGTTCAGGCAGGATCAACCAGATATCTCGTAAATCTAGGTAAAATTCACTCACGAAATCTGAGAGTAACATTTTACCCAAAAAAGCGATAGCTGAATATTTGTCACGCATCGTCGGCGCCAGAACGACACACGAGGCGAGACAGATTTGGTCTTACAACCAACCTCGGGTCACTTGCTGACTTTACGAGCACTCAAAAGTTTGCTTCGAACCGACCAAACGCTCATCTTGCCAATTCAGCAATGAATTGGCATAAAATTCATATCCTTCAACGAGGACGCTTCGTCTCAACACAAAATCTCAACTTTTCACTTCACCAATCCAGCCAAAAGGCTACATTTAGCATCAAATTTTTTTCTCTTTCATCGAGATTAGCGAATTTCTTATTTTCAGCCGAGAATTAATCCTCAGATGAATTCATGCTTGTCCTTCGTGAAATAAACCAAAAATCGCAATAATCTCGGTCGTGAACTCTCGCCCTTCGGGCAAACTCTAAAATTAATGAATCCCTAGCCCTTTAAAATGAACAGAAATCGATTTAAAACGGTTAAAAATCAAAGTAGCACATTTGAGTCTTCAGATTGTACCATAATCAAGTTGATTGGATGCTAAGAATTTACATAATAGGGCATCAAGTAACACGGAAGGACTTGAAATCTGCTACGTCGAGAATTATTTATTTTCCTATACATTTTTCCTTTCCATTTCCTGTGCAAACAACCACTTTATTTTACAATTCGCAAACACACAGCCACTTTTTCAATTTTACTCAACAGACAACCACTTTTCTTAATATGAGTCGAGGCGAAAAGAGAAATGGACCAAATGCAACCCCAAGCTATGCGCCACCAAGAGAAAAATAAATGTAAAGAGAATTAAAGCAAGAAAGAAGGCAAAAAGTGGTCGTAGAATTAGTAAAAGTGGTTGTTTTTATAGTAGTTATTTAATATTA